TCTCCTGGGGGACCCTGTCACCCCCCACGCCTGCCTGGACCCTCTCCCAGCTCAGCACACCTGTGACACTTTGCTCTGGGGACAGGAGTAACTCGACTTCCCACCTGGAGCAAAGGGAAGGAACCTTATTCCAAACGACTTTTCCCTCTGTGTCCATGGGGTTTGCTCCATCCCTAGGAACACATCTCCCTCCGGTGCAACTACCCTGCGCGGGGAGGTGGCTGCACCCCAGGCTGCTGGGTGCATACATAAATATATATATATACATATCTAAATAATGGATTTGGTGCAGAAATGGTCCTCTGCACCACATTTGCAGTGCCTGCAGGACAGCCAGTCCCCAGCAGCAAGGATTAAACTGCCAGGGGGCTGCCCACAGCCCCTCGCCCAAGGTGTCAGTGGTGGTTTGCAGCTGTGTTTTGTTCTCAGCTTTGTTCTGTGCCTGCACAGACCAGCACAACCCAACACAGTGAGGGGGGGCTGTGGCTGCTCTCTGCTTGTGTGCTCCACGGGGCCTTAGCTCCATTCCCCCTCACTGTAGCACCCAGGGTGGGTTCCTCCGTTGGCCCTGGAGGGGATGCAGGATGCTCTGCCCTTGCCCCCCACCCCATGCGCTGCTCCCTTGGTCCCTCTGTGCAGGCACAGCCCCAGCCCAGATGAGTTAAAATTCACCTCCAAACAAAAGCTGTGGAGTCCCATCTGCTTTTGGGGAGCAAACATGGGTGCCAGTGGAGGTGACCACCAGCCTAGGGGATGGAGGACCACATGCCCAGGCTGCTGTGGCTGCTGGGTCCTGGCTGTGCCAATTGCCTCCACATCCCTCACCAGTGCTGGGAGAGCTGAGCAGGGGGCACCAGGTCCAGCAGCTGGTGTTCAAGCTGGGAGAACGGCAGGTTGCTGGGAAACATCCCTCTTGAGCTCCGATAAAAATAGCTCCATCTTCAAGGCAAGAGGATGGGCTGCGCTGCCGGCGGCACAGGGGACGAGTCTGCGCCCACCGGGCTGTGGGGCCGGGGCAGGCTGGCCTGGCCTCACAGGGTCTGTGCCATGGACCCCCATCCCACACCTCTGTTGTGACACGGTGCAGTGGGACGGTGGTGCACAGGCTCGGGGTGTGCCTGTCATTGCCCAGTGCTGCCCTCCCTCACCACCAAATCAGACTCGGAAATGTGAGAGAACAGGAATCAGGGCTGAGCAGGGAAAGTGGGGTGTCTCTGTCGCCCCACACAGCTCCCCCTGCCCCTTCAGCTCATCTCTGGATTTGCTCCCATGAGGAGGGAGGGGTGTGGGGGATGTGGACTTGGGGGGAAGCTCAGTGGGGTCTGAGCCTTGATTTTGTAGAGATGGGAGGTTTCCGTGTGAGGGTTTTTTCGCCCAACGGCAGCCAGGCTGGGTGGGTTGGGGGCATCCAGCCTTTCCTAGGGCATGAAGACCCTCTTTCCCTTTCCAGCAGCTTTGAATGGGCTCACTCCTCTCCCTGGCATCTCCACGGAACAGTGCCTCTTCCCAGCCTGGGGAGTGGGGTAGGAGGAGGTCAGAGGGCTTCACTCTCTCATCCTTCTTGGGCAGGATTTGAATTTGGTGGCCAAGGGGATTCGCATCCCCAGCAGCCAAACTCCTCTGGCACACAGCTGTGGGAGAGGATGGACCCCATCCCGGTCCCCAGCCGCCTCCCTTGTT